CAGCATAGTGGAAGCTGGTCTCTTCTCCCAGGTGACAGGTGCTTGGACAAGAGGAAATGGACTCGAGCTGCATCAGAGTTAGTTTAAGCAGGAAAAATTCTTCACTGAAGGGGTTGTGGAGCGTGGGAACCGACTACGTAGGGAAGTGATTGAGTCACTATCCCTGAAGGTGTTCAAATGACGTGTAGATGTGGTGGTAAAGAATATTGTTTAATGGTAGACCTGGCAGTGCTACATTAACGGGGATGATCTTGGAGGTCTTTTCCAATCTAAATGATTCTATGATTGTATGAATGTGACCAAAACCGATCCAAACTTTCAGATGTTTGAAGGTGCTTGTGCAAGCAGACATGGAAATGGAACATTACTGCAAGCTCTGCCCATCAGCAGTCATGTTCTACCCTGGAACAAAAATAGTAGAAAAGAAAACATCAAAAAGGTGTGCAATAGGTGTTATTTCATTGTACACTCAGTGAGCTGGGCTTTTGGGATTGTGAGAGCCCTTCAAAACCTGGCTCTGAGGAGGTAGCTGAACTGGCTGCTTGGTAACTTGTGTTAGTGTAGTTTTTATCTATTTTATGAGTAGTGTTGGTGTTGTAGTAATTATCAATTTTTAGTCTTGTTTTTATCTTTCCATAATTAGTAAAGTTCATTAGCTGAAAACATAAAATTATTTTGAATTGAAGCCTTAGTAAATGATCGTTTAGTTAAGCTTTTTTCACAAGAGGAGTAATTCAAGCTCTATTTCAATACCTGCAAATATGCCTCTAGATGAACTTTTTAGGTGGGCAAAAACAGTATCTATGTTGCAATATTCTTAATCTGTTCACACAAATACAGTCAAGAAAGGAGAGCTCAGATTTTCAACTTGGTCCATATATCCAGAATGCCTTTATTTGGATTATTAAGCCTTTGGTGAAAGAATGTTCTTTTTAATTCACCATGGATCAGTGAGATACATGGAATTTACAGGAACTTTGCATTCAGCAAAGACATTCGTGTTCCTTTGGATAATGAATCAACTATAGATATCTGAAACCACCACTTTAGCCACATGCTAAACCTGTTAGTCTTCCAGCAGTGTAAGCTGAAAGGCTTCCTTGAGGCTCTTAACAAGCAAGATAACTTGCTCCATTGCTTGCATAAAAGCAACTGTAGAGAAAATAGTGGATGCAGTATTTGGCAACAAAAAGGGTCCTCAGAGAAGACTCCTTGGAGCAGCTCTACATGGAATGAAGAGAGAGTGCACTGCTCTGTAGTTTTTCTGTCAACAATGCTGGAAAACAGGACTGAAAAACTCCTGGAAAGAGAAGGATCTACCAAAGAATATTCCACTGGAAGAAACATCATAGCTAGTCCTAGGAATCAGTGAACTGTGACAATTTTCTCACTGACTTTGTGCTCTCTGAACTAAAAATTCTGAAATGATGTTTGTCCTTATGGTAGTTAGCTTGAATGGACTAAAATCAATGGAAAGTTTGTTCCAGCAACCAGCTTTCAAATGTGACGTTGTCAATGTGGTCTAACTCAGATAAATGCTGACAGATACTTGAGCTTTCAGGTGATATCTATAGGAATTTTGCTAAGAAATTTGTACAGTAAATTCAACCCATCCTTCTCTGTGGAAATGGAGTACTACAGCGTTTTTTTCCCCAGCACTTCCTGAATCTCTGCAGAGATCACTGAACTGCAGCGAAAGCAAGTGCATTGTTCTGACTCGCCCCTGCTCCCCCTTGTGAGCCGTGCTGGTGACTATTCGCAAGGAGTGCCACGCAAGCTGTGATACACCCCTGCTGATGTCAGTAGGAAATCAACTGTTTCTGCTGGTGTAATTGTGACCTAATATTTCACTGATAGTTCTGCATTTTTGGTGAATCTGTACTGAGATCATGTCTGACAAAAATTTCCTGTGGAGTACAAACCTGAGAATCCTGGTACTTTGGTGCTACCATCAATAATGTGGTATTTTACAGATCTTGCTGCGTTTTCTTTCATGCAATGAACCTGCAATGCTTTTGGACTTTAAAAGGAAGTAGAAATCCTCTCTGAGTTAAATTTTCAGCATCTGGCTCTGCCCTCATTGTGATCTGTAGGACTTATATTATTTAAATATTTTTTATTTGTAAATTATCTATCTTTAAATGCTCTTAGAGTTACAGTGATGAGAATTACAGAAATGTGCATTAATATTTTATATGAAGTTTCCAGTATTGGGATCTCTTTGAATACAAAACATTTGAAGATCTTTGCTGTTATTTTTGAGTGACACGCTGTATACCCACACCAATTCTATTATCTGATTGCTAATTTAAGCTTGATCTCTGGATCCATTTTACACAACGAGGTGTGTACCTTGAAGGCAGTTTTTCTGAAGAAAGCAGAGTAGTATGTTCACATGTTGTAAACTTGGGGCCTTCATAGCAACAATTTTTTTTTGTGAACTGGGTCCTTCAGAAATGATCCAAATCTTCTCCTACAAAACAGGATGTTTAGGCCACGTAGTAAGCAAAATTTCCTGTGGACTTTTGATTCTTGCAACTCATACTTCCGTAACTACAGCTACTTTAAACAGACTCACTGGAATAGGGGCTCAGTGCTAACTGAGATGATAGAACAAGGGGAAATGGTTTCAAACTTAAAGAGGGTGTATTTAGGTTAGATATAAGGAAAAAGTCTTTTACAGTGAGGGTGGTGAAACACTGAATGGATTGCCCAGGGACGTGGATGCGCTGTTCCTGGAGACTTTCAAGGTTAGGCTGGATCAGGCCCTGGGCAATTTGACCTAGCTGTGGATGTCCCTGTTCATTGCAGGAGAGTTGGACTAGACAGCCTGTAATGGTCACTTCCAACTCTAAGGATTCTATGATTTGGTGACTACTATATTCTGTAATTTAGATTCACACAGAATCACTCAGAAATCAAAGTACTACTCAAAGATATTAGCGCTGCCTCCTGCTCCTGCATCTATCTTCTTAGCTGGCAGCAACTCCCAGTTAAATAGGAAGCAGGGGCAGTCACTATCCCTTACTCCATCCTGATGCCCTCTGCTGTAAGCAGGTGAATTCAGATACCTGTTAGATGAACAAAGAATGAGAATGCGGCTATTACCTTGCATGCTTGCAGACAGTGCTGAGGGTGAGCAAGCATACTGTTAACGTGCTTCTACCTACCAACATTTGTTCTTGCAGCCCTGTTTACATGGCTTTGTGACCCTATTGGATTTCTCCAGCTCTGTAGGGTGAAAGCCAGATAATTGCTCTGGAAAAAAAGTCCCGTCACACTTTTTGGATGGGATTGCAGTCCTAATATCTGATTCACAGTTCAGCCCAAAAGCTGAAATCCTGCAGCTCCAACTGGGTAGGGTATTTGTTAACATTGCCTTATTCTTCTGCATGGGCTGGAGGGTTTTTTTTGTTGCTGTTCATTTACTTGCTGATATGCCGCTAGGCACTGCCTTATTCTGTGGCAGAAGTATGTCTGACAGTAGTATGACAGTATTCTGTGGCTGTATGTCTGTGATAACTGTCATAGAAATCTGCTACTCATATCACAGGGCTCTCGGGCACCTCAGGTCTACAGGTACAATGTACTGCAGAAGCAAATAAGGGGTCAAGAGAGGTCTGTTGTTAAGACAGTGGGCACCATTCTGATGAGCCTGTAGCATCAAGTCACCGCTGGCTTGGCTCTTTCCCTGTTAATTTTGGGGATGGAGAGAAGCAGAAGAAAGGGGAAAACATGTGGCATAGGCAGAGAAGATGCCTTCTCTGTTATGGGGAGGAAGATCTGTTGCATCAGAGTAAATCCACATGTGAGCTAAAATCCTGCATCTGCTGAGCTCCTATGCTGCAAGGCTAAAGGGTAAAAAAGCACTTCTTTATTATTAGCAAGTAGGGTGCTCACAACTGGTTTCTCAGCTGATAATGATCACCTTCCTTAATTTGTGGCTGTTGAGGTGAATAATCTTTTTCAAGCATTTACTGGTTTGCTTCACTATTCACTACACAATTGGAAGTGTTTATCATTTATGAGAAGCATATACTTAGAGGTTTTTTTTTCTTCTTCTTCTTCTTTTTTTAATGTTCCACATTAGAGGGCTTTGCATATTTATTAGCTGGCAGCAGCGAGCATTATGCACTTCTCATTTGTTTGTGGTTCCTGCACTTCCTGCTGTTAGCAGTCCAGCAGAAATCCAAAGGAGGAGTGTGCTGGCATAGTGGTTCTCAGCTGTTCTCAGTGGATTTCTGAAGAATGTTACCTTCAAGCAGAACTGTTTATGAATATGGAAGTTTACATGTCATCAAACATAATGGGCAGAGTGACTGAGGCATGCCAGTCTGTGCAGCCATCAGCTCGCTTTTCTCTCTGTGGAACTACCACATTCCGTTCCACCCTGCTTCTTCTGCCACACAGCCCAGTGCTAATCCTTGTGTCGGGAACGGTCAGTGTTAGGTACTGCTTCATGCGCAGCATGTAGAGCTTGGTACAAAGTTACATACGTTTGCGATGGTGAGCACAGTAAAGCCACCAGGTGCTGCGTTTTCCTTCCCACTTTGCACAACTGTTCCACCCCAGTGGACCCATCTTCTCCCCTGAGGACACAAGTTTCCAGGACTTGCACTCTGAGACGAAGTTGCTTTGTGTCCTCTCGTATTCCCTCACAGCACACCTGTCCTGTCTGGTAATTTTCGCTTTGTCTTTCCCACTTTGCAGAGCTGGGACAGCCAGCACACCCGCGGGTGGCGGTCCGCCTTCCCTCACGGGGCAGCGGACGCTTCCCGGTCACACAGGCGAACCCCACACCCTGGGGGTGCGCTGCCTTTTCCAGCCCACGGCCCGGGGGCGGGCGCTGGAGGATGCTGCGGCCAGGGAGCGGGGCGCGGGCTGACGCAGCGGAGGCCCCCGCCGCGGCAGGCGGGCGGGCTGCGGGGCGCCGCGGGGCTGAGGGGCGGTGCCGCCGAGCAGAGTCGAGCCGAGCCGCGCCGCGCCGCGCCGCGCCGTGCCGTGGTCGGCCGGGCGCCGCTGCAGGCTGGCCCCTTGCGGCTGCCTGCGGGGCGGCGGCGGGCGGACGGCCGGGATGATCCGGTTCCGTAGCTCCAGCATCAGGTCGCTGAGCCAGGAGATGAAATGCACCGTGCGGCTGCTGGACGACTCCGACATCTCCTGCCACATCCAGGTGCCGACGGGGACAGAGAGGGGCGGCTCCGCGGGCGGCGGCGTCCGCGTCGGGAGCGCGGCGCCGGGACGCGGCTGTGTTCCGGGCCCGGGCGGCGGCTCGGCACCGCGGGCAGCGGCGGGGCTGCCTCCGCGCCCGGCTCCGCGCACCTGCGGCGCGATGGGAGTCTGAGGCCGCTTGCCGGAGCCGCGGGACGCTGCCGGCGGCGCGGGTGGCGGCGGAACGAGAGAGGAGAATCGGGCGTGGGGCGCGGGGTGGCGGCGGGGAGACCGCTCGGCGGTGTCTCTCGAGGCCAGTGGAGGGAGCAAGGCCCGCGGCGCGGAACGCTGCTCGGGAGGCTGCGGGCAAAGCGGAGTTTTGGCGTGCGAGTCCGTTGGTGTAAGGCGGAGAGGTAACTTACAGAGAGATTCTCGGTGGTAATAGTGCGCGCCTAAGAAGGCAAGTTCTCTGCAGTCGTGGTTACGCCGTCCCTTAGTACCTATTCCTTCGAGGAACGAGGGTGAGGAGGAAGAGGGCAGGCGTCCTGCTGCGGTGTGTGGGTGCTGTCTGTGCCGAGGGCTTCCAGCCAGTGCCGAACTCGGGCGGACAGTGAAGGCTCACAAGACCCCTCAGCTGCGAGCCTTAGGACACTACTCACGGAGCAGATCACCGAGGTGAGATAGTGGCCAGATGGGAGACAAGAGCGGTCCTTTAGGAAGTTGTTGGACGCTCACAGTTGATCTTCGCTCCCTTTTTCCCCATGGCAGTACAAAACTGTAAAACAAGTCAGCAGTTCTATGCGAGGACCAGCCACATCTGAAGGCAAGGTATTGTGAGGTGCAAGGTACCTCTGCACTTGAACCAAACTCTGTTTTTGTCAGTTGCGGTGGAGCCATTTCATGCTGGTTACACTCAGCCCCAAGAGCCTGGAAGTAGCGGGAAATAACCAAACCATCTTGTCTTCCTATGCTCTCTTATTGAGTAGTGTGGCTGTGAGATCATAGCTTTAATGTGCAGGGAGCAGAATGGCCTGCAGTCTTTTCTCAGAGCTTAATGCAAGCTTTGCATCAATTCCTCTGCTTTCTTCAGAAATGAGTCTCTTTAAGCTATAGGGAACTTAAAAGTGAGGATCTGAGGCAGCAAGGAGCACCACAGCTCTGCAGCATTAAAGTGCAAAGATTTCCTTGTGCTGCAGGTGTGCCGTTTGGTGCTCATGAGGCAGGCATCACCAGCTCTGTGTGATACGGTATGGTGCAGGATGAGCAACTGGTCGCACTGGAGTGTATCACATTGCCATTCCTCATTCCTTGTATGTGCAGGGGAATGGTGTTCTATGCCACAGCTTAAAATGTTTTAAATGTTCCACTTCCAAGAGTAATCCTAAAAATTGAGTTACATTGTGAATTCTTCTAGAACTGTCTTTCCCGAAACTATGCTCTAGAAGGACGTGAAAAGTGGGAGGGGCTCAAATTTTCCCTGTGACTGGTAGGTGCTGAAATTGTACATGTAAATGCAGATCCTGATATTAGGAAGTGTTAGCTTATGGCCAATTCAGAAACATCCAGCCAAGGAGGAGGATTCCTGCTCGGAGTTACACTGCGCTCTTTCTGCTACTTTGAACTGCATATATACTTGTGTATATGCATATATGTATATACTACTCCCTACCCATATACAAAGGAGATATAACTTCACTGTACTACTTATTTGCCTTCTTAGACGCGTGCAATTCTTGAAAAAACTTTGTACCTTTAAGCCCTTGATCAGACCTATATTTGAATTTTACAAGGTAGACAAAACTTCCTAGGAACCTTCCCAGCACTACAATTATATTAGTGAATGGAAAACAATATTCCAAGTCTGTTGACATATACACATGGATGCATTTTCAGCAAGATGGATTAGCCTAGATGATGTGCTACTGGGTTAACTGCAGCGATGCCAGGGCTGTGCCAGCTAGAACATGTTGGGCAGCTGTGTTTTGGTCATGTCTTAGTTTCAGCAGGGATTAAATTTTCTTTGGAGTGCCAGGTATGATAGCCCTGGCTTATATCATTACAAAATTGGCAGCTGAGAAACTAATTTTTTGTGCATATTCATCATTGCAGTCATCTTTGTTTTTGAGGCCATATTATTGGTACTGTTAGTATTTAAATCTTTGCCTTGTCTCTGGGGAACCCAGCTATGGAGGAGATAGAGGAGGACACTTTCCAGAAGTTCTTCAGCTTCCTTTTCACTTTTCCTTCTTTCCCTAGAGCTCAAGCAGTGTTACAATAGCTCTTAAGATTTTTTGAATATCAGTGAGATTCTCAAACCAGCATTCTCCTCTTGATGTGTGTCATGAATATTTTTCAAGTTGTCTTTAAGAATAAACAATTTTTTAAGTATATCACCCAGAGATCTGCACCAAGGTGGGATAGTTCTGAGTGGCAGGGAGTGTGGGATGGTATAGGTATAGGTAGGTGCCTAGGCCCATGGTAGTTCCCAGTGGTTTGAAACTTCACCTCTGAACAACTGCAGAATCCTGAAGAACTGGCAATCCTAAAGAGGCACAAATCACTGCAGCATTCTGGGGTCTGACCCATGCCAGGGTCAGCTGGCATGACTGGTCCTGCCCACTCAAACCTCCTGAATGCTACAGAAGATGATAAAGACCTGGTGGTGCACATAAAGCACATGCTGGGCAAGACAGATTAGGTTATTCCTGCCTCAGACATAGGCAAAGCTATCTGTGGGATTGCTTTTGCTCAAGGACGTGGGTGCATGTGGTGGGTAATGTGGAAGGATGAAGATGTCCATTGTGTAACTCAATGTGATTTGACGCTGGCTGAGAACAGACAATAATTTAGATTGTGTGTGTTAAATTGCTACGTAATACTGTATGCCATCATTATTGTGCTTGTTGTATGTTTTGTTAGTGGTATTACAATAAGAACTACCCAGATTAAAGAGGAACAAACTGATGGAACCAGAACTCATGCAATAACCCCTTCCAACACTGAATCATCCCATACCAAAAGGCTGCTATCACATATGGAAGAAAATACTATGGAATACTATGGAGAACTTAAATGGGTGGCCCACAGGCTATTGAAATAATAAGTGTGTATGTATGTAAGAAAAAGATGGGTGATGGTTATTAGAATGTGTAGAAATGGGGGTACCTGAACGTCATGTAAATGATATGGAATAAGGTAGGGCGGGGGTGTGTGTGTGTCTTATTTTCAATTGGGATTAAATTGTTTTCTTCAGAGTGCCAGGTATGATGCTATGTTTTGGTTCTAGGAGAAAAAACAATGTTGATAGCACATTGCTGTTTATAGTTGCTGCTAAGCAGTGTTGCACAGAGACAGGACCATTCACAGCGAAGGTCCCAAAGAGCTGGGAGGGAGCAGAATTAGGACAGCTGACTTAAACAGGTCAAAGAGATATTCCTTACCATATGACATCAAGCAGAAAGAGTTTTGAAGAGGTTGGGAGTTCATCTTCTGCTGTTTGAGGGTCTAGCTGGGCATTTGTCATGGTTGTGATCAATTGCTTGTGCAGCACTTGTTATATGTTTTCATATATATATATATATATATATATATATATATATAATATATGCATATATATATATGCAGTCATAACTGTTATCCTCTTCTTTTTCTCTATCTTAGTCAACAGTTTAATCTCAACCCATGAGTTCTACTCTTTTTCTGATTCTCCCCTTCATTCCAGTGGGAAGGAGTTAGTGTGTGAATGACTGTGGTGCTCAGCCACCTGCCGGGTTAAACCACAACAATCATTAAGAGGATAAGAAAGCCTAATTCTGTGTTGCTAAGAAATGCTAGCAGTCTCCTAAGGACTCAGTTTGCAGTAAGGAATGGTGAAATTCTTGTAGTGTGTTTTCGAGGCAGGTGGAGCAGAGATGCATGGCTTGTCCAACTAGTTCTGTATGTAGCTGTAGATATACTGCATTACAACCTTCTCAATTTGCCAAACTCTGCTTTTTCACTTACGTCTTTCCAACAGTTACCTTTCATGCACGGTGCCCAGAACCACTTAAGTAAGTGTTCAGATGTCTGCAAATTACAGTCTTTGTGGATATGCCATAGGCTTAACAAAAAGTGTAGTCAGAACTGTTAGCCCTTGGGCTGAACTGTTGGGAGACGTCATTGGAAAATTAAGGTGGGAGAGGATGTGTATAAGTGCTGCATTTTTTTGTGTATGTGTATTTTTTTGCTGTGTGAATGTCAAAGCACTAGGTAGGAGCATAAAACACAATTTTTTTAAAAGTGTTTTCTTTAAGTTTTCAAAGTTTTCTCTAAGTTTTCGCAGTGCTTCAGCTGCAGAGGAAGCTAGCAGTGCCTGCTTATGACAGTTGCATTTTACTGTGAGCAGTGTGGTGGCCACGCATTGGGTGGTGTGAGGAGGGTTGGCAGTGATTCTTGCATCTGCGGGCTCCAGCCAACTGGTTATCGAGCTGTGTGATGCCATGTAGGTCACCAAGTTGCTCAAGGCTAGGGCTGCAGCTCAGAGATCGGGATGCAGTGCACTGTCCTCTTCATCCGAGAGACTTTATGACTGCTAATTAGCTGGAGTGGTGACAGGCACAGCACAGAGCTGGAGCCTGAGGGATGCTTAACTAATTCTTGTGATGACATTTGTTTTGCCATGACTTTTGTCTATTTGCAGAGCCCCTCTGGGAGCTGTTTTGGGCAGTCTTACAGCAGAGCAGGGGTGAAGCTGTAGTGGCACAGCTCAAATGGAGAAGTTACGAAAAACAGCCTCGGGGGGCAGTGGCCACTGTCTGTTTGCATTTGCAAGAGAGAAAGAGAGAGGTGACCTGCTTGTGGAGGCTGTCTGATCAGAGCACAGAGCCCAGGCCTGAAGGAGGGCAGTGGGAGAAGTAGGTCTGCAGAACTGCTGGAAGCACATCAAGAGCATGGAGAGACCTCCTTTCTGGAGTTGCTAATGAGATTCTTGTTTTCTGAGTCACTGAGATAACGAACACTTTATTCATTTTTGCAGGCTTTTTG